GAAAAAACTCCTTTGCTAGTCAGAATTCTCCTTCAAAGGATAAGGGTTGCTGCTGTCTGGCGGGGGAGATGGGGGATTGCCCAGCTGGGTTTAAGCCTGGGGAGATGCTCCTTCTCTCCACCAGGTTTTCTGGTCTCTGGAGAGTGAGTCCAGATGTGAGGCCTGAGAAATGATCCTTCCCAAACATTTGTTTTCGTTAGAAATTTAAATAGCTTTATGGGACATTTTATCCTGTCTGCAGTGGCCAAATTCTTATCCTTGGAGATTTCCTCTGGCTGTAGAGCTTCAGCGTGAAACTGTTTTCTCTCATCAGTTCTGTATTTGTCACCCTTAAACCTGCAGATTTTTGTTTGGTCTCCTGTTAAGAGGCAGGAAGATCAGAAACTCTCACTCAACTGCGTCTTACCTATTGAACACCAGCTAATTACAGACCTGGTCTAATGATTTCCACAGCAGCCAGGAGCCTCCTCTTTCTCCCTCCAGCATCCTCTAAGTAACGACTAAAGCTCCTCTTAGCCACTGCTAAGGAGCTGACCCCTCTGAATGACTGTATTATGATTTTTATAGAATGATACAATGCTTTCCTGTGCTTGCATTAAAGGAGGACCGGTCACGTTGTACTTGGCATTTGATCTTTCAAGAAATGCCTTGAACTTCTCCGTCCTGTGTGCTTCCACGGGAGATCTCAGTCCTAGCTACTCAGGTTAGCAGAGAGGTAGAGAAGAGTGGAAGCACTCAGAGAAGGATGTTATAAAGACCCATGAGTGATCGTCTCGAGAAAGCCTCCTAATTAGTACATTTCCATACTTCCCCTGCTAACACCCAGGTACTTGTTCTATTTACAGGATGAGAGCCCGTGTCTACTGGGAAGACTTTCTGTTCCCAAAGGTGCTCAGGACCACGACAGACCTATGGTCAATTTACTCCAAGCCTGTCCCAGCAAACAGCAGAGAACTGTGGACCTTGTTCCTGCAGTGTTCCTGCATTACAGTGGTGATAGGAGGCCTCTTTTACAACTGGATGTTTGCTTCCCTGGAGTGCTCCTGGCATCTCTCCGTTGCAATGGCCGTCTCCTTCAGTCTGCTCTTTCTCCTGGCCCTTTTCTTGGTGCATCCTGCTCGTTGTGTCTTCAGTATGATCATGCCTACGTTAGGTACCAAACAGGGCCGGAAGCTTCTCTTATCAACCTGCATCATGATAGTAGCGGTTAACATAACACCCAACATCATAAGCAACATTAAAACCATACTGCAAGTTATTAAATGCATCTGCAAGAATTCCTCTGAGAGTCTTTTGAACTCAACTGCTCTGCTAGAGACAGCATCCTGGGAGTTTGGGGATGCAATCCAAGAAAGCATTAATTCCTTTAACATTCATAGGCCTATGAATGGACATTTTCAGTTTTCACTGCTTAAGAACAGCTCCTTGATTTCCCAGCAAATGCACCTTGCTGGTGAGAAAATCAGGAGGGACTTTTTGGCTGTTGAGGTACTGGTCAAAGACTCTGTACGAGTAGGCAACAAAGTGGTTGCTGGCTTCTCTGTGCTCTATCTCTGTTTTGAGTCCACCTGGTATTTGAAAAATTATCTCACTAACCTCCACTTTGATAATTTTTATGTCACCAAGAAGCTGGAGCGTTTAGTTGTGGACAGAAAAGCAGCTCATCTCCTGGTGGGCCCATCCAAAAACCTCATTCGACCAACAGGCTTGAAGTTGTCCCGGGAAGAATTGATGCTGTGCCTGGTGCAATCCATGCTCCTGACCGTGGCCCTGATGCTGATGCTGGTGGTTGTGGCGATGGACCACTTTGCGTTCAGCATGGCAGACACTGCGGTGAGAAAGACAGCTCAGTTCTCCGTGGTGCCCATCACTCTCAGCATCAAATATAGAGTAAGTGCTGGTTTTATCTATTTTAATATCCTTTATCTGGAATAGTTCTGGTTTATTTTTTAGCTTTCCTTTTCTACTATGCAGCCTGCTTCCCTGCCCAGCCCCAGGGCTCCTTAGCACAGATACCTGCTTATGATGAACTTACAATAAAATAATCAGGGCTTAGAAAAAACCTCTAATATCCAAATATGCGGCCATTAATGCTGTCTGTATTATGTCTTTTATTGTAAATCTCATACAGTGAATACCTGTTCTGATCTGTGTAACAGCAGATAAAGATGACAGATAGGACCAGGTCTCACGGTGCCAAGCACTCACCACACGCCTACACATCATGCTGTTACTCTCGCCCAGGCTGAAGTGTATATGCACTTCAGTGTCCTCTTAACACATCTAAACAAGCTGTAACAGTGATTACACATCCCCAGGCTGATGTTTTTGTAGTAACAAGTTGATTTTGGTTTGTTCATACCCCATTTAACTTTCAACTCTCTTCATTTCAGGCTGAAGCAAAGATCCTGTCCGCTTTTTTTAAACTTTTACAGCTTCCTAACAGAGAATTACCACTTCAGGACTTTGAAAAAAGCTACCACCACTACCTGATCTTCAGCTCTGCTCACTGCAGGATCAGCCCCCCGACGCCTCCCAGTCCCTCTGTGCTGCTCGTTGTGGGGCTGCTCTTCTGCACCCTCTATGCCACCGTATTCCTGGGAACCTATGCACACCGCCTGTGCAGAAAAATCGCAGGCTCCTTCTTCGAGAGCTGGGAGGAGAAGCGAGCACTTCACCTCTACAAGAAGCTGTCCAGGAAGCACCAGCAGGAAAAAAACTGAGTGAGAAACTAAGGGTACTTTTGGAAATGCAGGGGATGCCTGAGACCTGTGGCAGTGGCTGGCACAGGCTTCTGCAATGGAATCATGCATTTAATTTTCCAGAGTCAGAGAAGTGTTCAGATTCTGGGGAAAAATATTTACCGCCTAAAAAAAAAAAGTCACATTTTGTATTGCTTTCAGAAAAATGGGCTAAATGTACTAATTTACTTTACTTCCTTTTTTCTTTTTTTTTTTTTTTTTAATCTAGGAGTCAGCTGTTCCAGGAATGGTGAGAGATAGCTCATATGACTAGGAGGGTATCCGCAGCGTTAGGCAAGGCTAACTGGGAAATATGTGGGAGTCAGGATGGAGGAAGAGCTCATTTACCTGCTCCACCACATCCATGCTGGAAGAAGTACACACTTCCTTTCTTTCTCAAGTCATCCCTTCAGGCAGCAAGAAAGGAAACTCATTTGAGTTGATGAATTTAATTTTCAGGGAGTTCTTCTTTTGGGTTTCATGAACAGAAACCTGGGTAGACTGGGTAAATATTAGCCTTTAGAAGACAGTTTATTCACCTAAGAAAGTGTCATTTCAGCCTACTGAAATAAGTTCAAGACCAATATGACCATGAGATGCACATCTTGGGCAGGATTGATGGTGGAAATCGGCACATGAGAACCTTATGAAATCATTTCACAAGGGCTTTTCTAAATAAAATACAAATAAAATAGCTGAAGGGCCTCAGAAGAGAATGAGACCAGCCAATAAAGGTCAAGGTGTGGGTCTCTTTTCCCAAGTAACAAGTGATAGAATGAGAGGAAATGGCTTCAAGTTGTGCCAGGGAAGGTTTAGATTGGATATTAGGAAAATTTTATTCACTGAAAAGGTTGTCAAGCATTGGAGCAGGCTGCCCAGGGAAGTGGTTGAGTCACCATCCCTGGAGGTATTTACAAGACATGTAGATGTGGCACTTAGAGACATAGTTTAGTGGTGGACTTAGAAGTGCTAGATTGTGGTTGGACTTGATGATCTTAAAGGTCTTTTCCAACCTAAATGACTCTATAATTCTTTGATTCTAATTTAGGCCAACATCCTGGAGGACTTCAAAAGTGGTTGCCAGAAACTTGACATTCAAGTCAGTGCTCTGCAGGGAACAGGGCAGTGGCAGGACTTGGGGAACCAGACTTGCCTGAACTGAGAGCTGATTTTATGTGTTGTGCTGTTTCAAACTCAGAAACTATTGTATCCAAGATGCAAAAATCCATCACTGGGGCAGCATCCAAAACATTTTATTTTTGAAAGAGAAGCAGGTCGGACACTTCTGTAACCGCAAGAGCCAGAGGAGGGGGAGCTAAATCAATGCTGATTAGAAATGAAGCAACTTTGCAGCTTTGTTTCTCCAAAGCATCTCTATTATTTTCATCCCTTCTCCCATTAGAGTCTTCATTAAGGTAATTATTTGACATAATGCACCTCAATGAGATTAAATTACAGAAGTGAAGTGGCAGATGCAGCCAGATGCACCAAATTCTCTCAGCTTCTGAAGTGCTTGAAACAAAGTAGGTCTGGATTATTTTTTTTTTTAAAGCATCCATCTGACAAAACCATGGGGTATTCATCTCCCCAGGTTGCTTGATTCCCTGCTGTTCTGATGATTAATCCAAGAACCTTTCTGCCTCTACAGCAGCTAAGGGGGTTTGTCATGACGTTTCTGTAGAAAATGCTCTATGTTTTTCTGTTTTGGGAAAGTTAAAAGATTTCCGTGTGCCCATTAAGTAGCCAAAATTTTCTGGAGCCAGCGGTTAAAATAGCCAGGACAAGAACAGAGGAGTCCCTTCAGCCAGCAAACCATCTGAGCAGCATGCTGCCTTCCAACAAACACGTCTTTAAAAAAAAAGATTTTCTTTGGAAGACTCATCTTTTTGGCAAGAGATGTGCATTAAGAAATTTCTTTAAAAAATAATTATTTTTTTTTTATGCCCAGAGACACTTAGGAAACTTCCTCGAGCAATGTCCAGTTCCTCTCTTTGCCTTCCGAGGGAGGTCTTCAGAGGAGACTGGGGCACAGCGAGAGGAGGCTGAAATGATGACGTGCTAGAGACCAGCATGGACTGGCTTTGCTTTAGAGATGGGCCCTCCAGGTTCAGCTGGGGCTTTGGATGAGACCACAGAGATGGACTAAGAGGACTAAGTACCCCTCAGAGTGTCCCTTTGCATCCTTCAGACAGGTGCTGCCCAGCTCCCAGCCAGGGCAGCTGAGCAGCATGTGAAGCAGCTCCTGAAGCACCTGTTTTCAGCCTCAAAAATAATTTTTATAGGGAAAAGCTGACCTCAGCGCAGTTCTTCCCCTCTTCTCTAGTGTCTCCTTCAGCTCCCGCTAAATTTTAACGACTAAAGACTAATCCTGGGAACTTTGCACTTCTAGATTGTAAAATTCAGCACTAGACAAGCCTTGATTAGCGTAATTACATCTGTTTGAATGGATAATAATCAGTGTGAGGTGCTGCCACTCTGCCTCCAGAGTTGCAGCCTTCATAAACCCTTCAAGAAGCAGTGATGTGCTCCCATTTCCACTTTGCAAAAGAGGCTAAGGACGAGATTTTTATCGAGTTCTTCGGTGAATATCACACTAGTTTCCGCAGGTTCAGTGACAGGGAACCATGGGCAGCAGAGCCCTCCTTTGGACATCTGCTGTAGGAGACAATGTGTTGTGCCCCATGTGCCATCCATCTCCATGGCCTCGTGACTGCTTTTGCTCTAATAGTCATGTAGAAATCAGGGAAGAGTTTGTGTTTGGAAGGTGAACACCTTGTGAAGCACCGGTGAGAAGATGAGTGTTGGGTGGTAGCCCAAAAACTGGTTTTTGTCACGGCCATGCTGAGGTTTGTTACTTAGAAAGGATAGTAATAAACACTGTGCCTGTGCTGTGAAGTGTCATCTCAGTGTCAGAAGCATTTTTTTTTTCAATTGTAGGAAGGAAAAAGTTGCTTTGGTACCCATTATGGTTATTTTAGAGGGGTGGTTGTACTGATGTTAAAACCTATATGCTGAAGGCTGATATACTTGAGTATCACTGAATCAATGCACATGAAAAGGTGTCAGTCAACACGAGTACTGTTGCTTGAGTTGCTATCATCAAATATAGGTATGTATCATACATAGTTAACTAATCTGTTTTGAAGAGAAAAGGGATGTTGAAAGCCGACTCTTTGCCGTTATGCCACTTAACCCAGAGCCTGGATTTTCATGTAAGAAACTAAACCCAGGGAACTGTGGCAAACGTGATGCTTGAGTGGGAAACTCGTGGAAGAAGAGCTCTGATTGGTTTCCAGCCTGCAGGACCAGGGAGAAATCATGGGGAAACCACAGGTATGGAGTTACACCTAAAGAAGTGAGTGATGGAGGTGAGACCTGGGGCAGCCTGTGCAGGGCGAGCAGAAGGGACCTGCCAGCATGGCTGGCAGGAGCTTAGTCCCTGCAGTAACTTGATTTTTCGCTTCCCTTGGGGTGTCAGCAGGACCCAAGGAACAGAAACGGGAAGGGAGGCCCTGAGGAGCAGAGGGTGCTCCGATGGTCCCTGGAACAGCTTGTGCAGCACATCAGCCATGTTGTCCCTGGTGCCGAGTTGGGCTGTGATGCATTCCCTGGGCAAGGGGGCTGGTGGGAGGTAGAGCTGCTGGAAATTGCTTTGCTCTCCTGCGAGGTGTTGTTCCTCATCAAGATAAAGGCATGACAAAGTAGAAAATGTTACCCATTCTAGATAGTGCCGTATTATGTGCTCGAGAGGTAGGTTGCCTTGCCAGTTTGCTTAATGGTGCAACAGAGAAATACTGAACAGATTTAACCAGCAGGCAAAGTTAATTTATTCACATATTTTTATTGAGTAGGACTAATATACCAGCCTCATTATTTGCCGAGGGATTTTTCATCCCTCAGAGCCCTTCCATACTCCCACCCTCACTTCTGCTCATTGTGGCTCTCTTCGCCTTTGTTTTCGCTCAGCACCACCCTCCCGTCTCACAGGCAGGAGGAAGTGGGGAGTGAGGCTTTGCCCTGGGTCACTTCCACCCACGAGCCCCCGGCGCTGGGTCTGGAGCCCACAGGGCAGGTCCTGCGTGTCCACCTCCTCCGCAGGGGAAATCCCTGCTGAGTAATGTTGCTCCTACACCAGCACAGTGGCTCAGTTACTGTCTCTAACTGTTCCTGCAGGGAAGGATTTCATCACATCTGACTTCTAGTTCTGGAAATTTGTGAAGTTGAAAATTTGGAGTCAGATGTCTGTGTGCAATGAGGCAGAGGCAGGGCTGCGGTGGGGAGCATTCAGTGACGGGTACTAAACTTCCTTGCTGTTGCTCATTGGTGCCAATGGCAGCCCACGTCTTTGCTGATGCCAGCCTCCACCCTGCTGCCATGGCTTGTTAACCTGCTTCAGCTGCCATCAGTGGAAATGTTGCTGTTGATTTTGGGGCAGCCGGAGCAGCCCGCTGAAGCTGTAGGTGCCCTTCACTGCTGCTGGTGGCTGCAGAGCTGGATGCTGCAATGACCCACCAAGGACATGGGAACTGGAGGGGGTTTCTGAAGGGCTGGGCAAGACGGGGGACTTGCAGCTCCTGTAGCTCTCTCTGGAGCTCCAGTCGGAGTGGGGCTTGTTGCTGGGGAGCAAAGACCTTTATTTTGGCCTTGGCATGGGGTGACCATGTCTGGAGTCATCTCTCCCACCAGGTCGCCCTGAGGCTGTTTCTCCTGGGAGTCAGGACCACATGCTGCCTGTGGAGCTGTGTTTGGCAGGGCACACAGGAGCGGACCAGGCAGGGCTGTTTGTCTGGTTTGCACTTGTTGAGGTTTGAGATTTCTCAGTTACCTGGAGAAAAGTGTTAATTACAAGAGAAAAAGGCCCACTGATTACTCCTTCTTGCACCAGTGCAGTAAGCCCAGGGGACAGAAAGACCTGCACACCTGGGACAGGATCCACCCTGAAGCTCCTGATTCCTGTGGGGTTTTGTGGTGGTTTTTTTGTG